AAAAGTTTTGCTGCAAAACCTCAGCTGAAGAGCGTAGTCATGGAGAGCGTAGTAAGCGTATTCAGAAGACAGGTAAGGTCTGCAGGCCGCTGACATTTTAACTGGGGAGCAGTTTTTCGAATTTTTTACAAGTAATGTACGAAGTTAGGAGGAGCATCCTGAAGACTATCCATTGTATTGTTAGGTGCTTAAAAGAATACATTTCATTACTGAAAGGGAGATATCTGTTTAGTTTAGAGGGTAAGCGTGCGGAAGCTGCGGTAAATGTTCATAAGAGTATGCAGTTTTTATACTGAAGAGCAGTTTAACAGGCACAGACTAAAGAAGCCTTTAGTGGGTTTGGGCAAAGTCCTCATAGCTCTCAAGGACAAGGTTTATTGTGCAAATCTATTTCGGCTGGAAAAGTCATTGTCGTTGACGTCGATAGAAAAAAAATGATTTTAAATTTTCTAATTTTTTTGTTGTGGTTGTTAAGGAATGATCTAGGCTGAGTTGTGAGACAAAAATTTGTAGTATTTTCTTGTCAGAAATGTAAACAAAATCTTCATTGACTTTCAAAAAATGTTGAATAAGAAACAAAAATTTTTTCTGACATAGTTTCGTGAATCCAAAGAGAAAAAAAAATTGTGACAATAAGTTGAAGGTAAATTAAGGCAAAAAAAAAAAAAATCTGCTTAAATTACTGGAATTGATTTATTTGCGTGTTTTAGAAAAGCATTTTTGTTGGCTGAATGAACGCATTCTCTTACTGTTTGATAGACATTTCCCCAATTTTAGCTTCTTCGCTGACAGTAACGAACAGAATGCCCAAGTATTCTGATTTTTAATATTTTCTTTTTCTTTTAAAAAAGCTGCTGAATTGTTATTTGGAGCAAAATGGTTCAGAAAAAAAAAAAAAGTACAGGAAAAACCAATGAAGCAAGGCGCAGTAGAAACTCTTCCAGGTTGCAATGAACTGGAAATAAAATTTTGTTGGACAAACTGTCTATGAAGGAACTATAAACTTTAATTCAGAACAAAATAAAAAAAAAAAAGAAGAAGGTAGGAAGGATATCGTTACATTTAAAATTTTAAGGAAATTTTTGTTTATTTATTCATTTATTTTCTTTTGAACACAGCACTTATTTCCGGCAAAGTCGTTCCGATTCGATCAGCAGTGAAGACTGATATCGACTTGGTGAACTTTGATTGTCTAATATGACGTTGCCTTATTGTTAATGGTTATCACTGTTGAACAATAATAATATGCTGCTGGAAGGCGAACAACTGAAAATATGAAAAATACGAGCTATGAAAAAAACTGTTCAAAAATCATCTGCTTCACATCAGTACATTGTTAATTTCAGTAATCGTTTGAAGACGTTAAACATAATTTAAGAAAAAAATAAAAATAAAAGAATTGGAAAAATATTTAAGGATTGGAAAAAATTATTCCTGAAATTTTGTTTTTTTTTTTTTTTTTTAATGTTCTGCTGGTTTATTTCAATAATCTGAATCATTCTCTTCTAAAAGCAATACATGAATGCTTTTTCACTTTTTCTTTCTAAACAACTTGCTTATGCCACAGTTGTGAGTTGTGATGCAAAATAAATTTTTCTTCTCCAAAATTTCTGTAAAAAAGAGCTCTGTTGAATCAGTCTAAGTAAATAATTTAGGTTTTAAACCACCAAAGCTTTACAAATATAATAGACAGTATTAATTTAGTCTTTGCAAAATAAAAAAAAAAAAAACCAAGTATTACGGGTGAATTGTTGAGTTTTGATGCTTTACTCCATTTTAGACTGAAATATTAAAGAAAAATTTTTGTTTTTTTGGTTTAGTTAGATAAGCAACTTTTTGGTCTGCTACTACGGTATCACCGTTGGTAATGAAGGAATAAAGATTCGGGAACAGTAAACCGATATAGGAACAACTTTTTATGTGAACACCTTATGATTGCAAATTCTGACAGATGATATATTTTTGAGGTGATTAAGATAGGTTGAGAAAAAATTGCAGCTATGAGTGCAAATAAAATTCGTTGGCTTTCAAAATTTTTAAACTGAGTGTATCGGCGATACAGTAATCAGGTGTTTTGCAGTAACTTAATCTGCAGGCAATTTGTGCCAAAAAAGAATAAGACGACAATTTACGAAAGAATTTGTAAGCAAAATGTGGCAGCATCAGTAGCAGACAGTTACCGTCTTTGATGTGTTGACTGTAACTATTATCGGTTTCTGACTGCCCAATTAGATTCGTAATGTTTCAGTGAGAAATTTGTACGGTTTTTTGTTGTTGTTGTTGTTGTTGTTTCTCTGTTGTTTAAGAGCCTGATTGTCATTCTATTATTGATATGTTTTTGAAACTTCCAACTGCACTGACCTGTACGATATTTTGCTAACATCATAAACGGTGCAAGTCTTCCCTGTTATTATTTATTCTGTTCCATTTACGGCTAAGTAAACATCAGAAGTGTCCAGTGTTTGAATATCAAACTTTGTCAGCGGTTAGCATATAAGAATAGTTTGGATTCCTTAAGTATTTGCAGCAATACCTGAAAGACGTGCAAACAGCAAATTCGTAAATAGTTTTGTTCTCATCCTGAAAAACCCCTGTTTATTTTTTCCTACACTCTGGTGAGAACAGATAAAAAATGAAAGGAAATGACTCGTGACTGGTACGAAGATTTCAATTATGACCTCGAGATTACTCAGCAAAAACTTTCATTTTTGATTGCAACAAAAAAGCTGATCTATTTAAATATATGGTTAATAGGGCGCGAGTCACGCAGTGATGGCTGCAGTCTTTTTGAGGAAGTTTAGCTTCCGCGGAATTTAACAGAAAAGCGTGAAAGAGCTGTGGCTACTAAGTCGTGTTTCTCATTCGACTTTTCTCCTTTCCTCTAAGTTTTTTTTCTCTTTGTGGTCTGAGAAGCAATTAAATAAGTGTTCATATCTTTCAGTAATCAATGATGTACTTTTGTTATCCATTGAATCACTAAGTTTGTTTTTGTTTTTTTTTCAGTTTTTTTCCACTTTTTTCCACCTTTAATCATTTGCCTGAAGATTTTGTTTTAAAGAAAAATTGACACCGTGTTTTATTTGGTCGTATTTTTATTGTGTTTACATTGCCAAACGGAAGAGCATACATTATTAAACCTTTTGAGTTTTGAACAATCTTTTATTGTCGGTAATAAAAACGCGGGTAAAATTCGCTTATCTCTTTGCACGTTGCAAAAGAGCACAAATTTTTTTTTTTTTTTTTGACTGCAAACTGAAAAATCTTTTTGAAGCAAGACAGCTATTCGGCCACAACCATTTGTCTTATTTTTTTCTGTCTTAGTTTGTTGCCGCTTTCACTTTGATTATTTAAGATAACAGAAGAATCTTCAATGGAAACAGTTTATAGGTCTTACCTTTTTAACAGTTTATAGATCTTACCTTTTTAGTATCTCTTTAAAATGGTTTTAGTTTGTTTAAAACATCCTTTTTTTTTTTT